TCACTGTTGAGAAGGGATAAGGAACAGTTTATCAGTAATCTTGCAGAGGAGGTCGAAAGCCATTTCCTAGTAAATGACCTTCATCCTGCCTACCAAGCTCTGAGAAAGCTGAACTCCAAGCCCTCCTCACAGACGACGGCAGTCCGCTCAGCAAGTGGTCAGGTAATCTCAGATCCTGATGGGGTGCGTGTGCGTTGGGCTGAGTATTTTGAGCAGCTGTATCAGGTTGATCCACCAACAGTTAACTTGGATGCTGGTAATGTTGAGACTCCTCTGCCAGACCCACTCATCAGCGAGGATCCACCCTCCCTGACTGAAGTCAAGGGGGCGATCTCCAAACTGAAGAGTGGTAAAGCAGCAGGTGTTTGTGGCATCCCAGCTGAATTGTTAAAGGCTGGTGGAGAACCTATGGCAAGGGGCTTTCATGCAATCCTATCTGCCATCTGGCAGACCGGTACCATTCCCCATGACCCGCTGAGGGGTGTGGTCATCCCTCTCTGGAAGGGGAAAGGGGATCGGTGGGACTGCAGCAATCACCGAGGCATTACACTGTTCAGTGTACCAGGCAAGGTACTCGCCCACATCTTACTGAGACGTATCAGAGACTACCTCCTGAGGCACCAAAGACCGGAGCAATCTGGGTTCACTCCTGGTAAGTCCACAATAGACCGCATCCTGGCGCTTCGAGTCATTGTAGAGCGCCGTCGTGAGTTCGGACGTGGGCTGCTCGCAGCCTACATCGACCTCAAGAAGGCGTTTGACACGGTGTATCGCGAATCACTCTGGGAGATCCTGATCCTGCACCAACACTTTTCAACACTTGCATGGATTGGATACTGGGTAGAGCTATTGTCCAAAGTCACTGTGGAGCAACTCTGGGCAATATCAAGGTTACAGACCTTGACTTTGCTGATGATGTTGCTATTCTTTCTGAATCTCTGGAAACCCTAGTGGCGGCTCTTGATGCATTTAGCAATGAAGTGAAGCCCCTGAGGCTAGAGGTCTCCTGGACAAAGACCAAGATCCAGGATTTTGGGGGCCTACTAGGAGACCCTGTGCAGTCGGTACGTGCTTGCGGTGAAAACATCGAAGTCACAAGGAGTTTTATATACCTCGGTAGTGCAGTTCATGACTCTGGGCTGTCAGACCAGGAAGTCAGTAGACGGATTGGCCTGGCAGCAGGGATCATGAAGTCTCTCGACAAGAGTATTTGGAGATACCGGTACCTGTGCAGAAGGACCAAGCTACGAGGTTTCAAGGCCCTGATACTGCCAGTTTTACTATATGGTAGTGAAACTTGGACGCTATCTTGTGCTTTGGAATCTCGTCTCGATGCCTTTTGTAATATGTTTACAGTTACCATGTTACTGTGTTTTTTATTTGTTTCTTTGTACACCACTATTCTTTTTTTTCACTGTTTTACCGTTTTGTTTTGTATCACCTTATTTTATGATTACTATTTTATGCAATTATTTTATCTATGCTCTCCTTTCGTCCCCTCCCTCTTTGGAAAGTTAGACCTAGTTGTCACAGCAATCAATCCCCCACAGATGAAAACTTGTACACTTGATGCGATTCCAATATTCCACAATATTCAACTATTCCATTGCTTTATACCACCCATATCACCACATCATCACCTATCTTTTCTTTTCTTAGTGCTTTTCTCCTTCATCATCCATTTGTTCGCTATGTCATTTCTATGTTTTTGTTACATCTAAATAAAACACAGTATAAAAGTACATAAACTAAAATCAACTACGAAGTAGAAATAAATAACACACACACACAAAAATGAAGTTTTGTCCTAGTTCACTTGTTCAGCCGCAAAAATAGAAATGAAATACAAATTAACAAAAATAAAATCCATAAAAAGTTCTTACTTATTCTTGTTCTTGTTCAAATACAAAGTAAAATAAAATTTGAAAAATAAAGTCAACAAAATGCTTTCTTGTTCTTCGTTCAGTATAGATAATAATAATAGTAATAATTCTTGTTCACTTGTTTTGTCAGCAAAAAATAAAAATAAAAATAAAAAATAAATAAATAAATAAAATAATAAAAAAACGTTCTTGAGTTCAAGAACATACACCCTTCCTCTCCAAATGATGATAACAGAAACAAAGAATGACATGAAAGGGGTGTCACCCCCTGCTATTAATCTACCACTTCTTTCGCTTTCACCACTTTACCTTCCCTCCCCCCTCTATTATTCACCTCTTTACTTTGATGTTTACTGTTGTTTAATGTGTGTGCGTGTGTGTATGTGTTTGCATATGTATGCTGTCAGCGATGCGGTGTTTGACGAACTACTTGGCACCTTGTTGGCATCATGGGTCTTTATACTGCGGTGGTTGATCTATGATTCTTCTCCAAGAGAGTAGCTGGTTAGGTAATCATTGTTGATGATTCTCAACCCACTAATATATCTACAATATACTCACACACTACCGTATCTAGGTTTGACTTACCTAATAAATGTAAGTGCACGAGCGTGCATACACAATTGGGCACATGCGATTGTGTCGCACGTCGCCTGCGCTCTTGCGTGAGCACAAACGGTTTTGCACATATTGAGTAAGTCAAGCGTGGATATGGTAATGGGCAAGTCTATCGTAGATATGATGGTGGTGGCAGAACCACCAACAATGATCACCTAACCAACTACTCCCCTGGGGAAGGATCAGTAGTTGTGCAGCAGTCACTCACCACTACTGTATCTACGTTAGACACTCACAGATTTAGTCAAAGGCTATGGGAGTTCACCCTGTACAAAATAACTTACTGCCTTGCGGCATCTTTGAAATGGAAAGGGTGCGGGAGTAGGCTCTGATGGAAAATCCAGGGCTGGAGACCTTGCGGTAATTCATTGTCACCTGAGACCTCGATCTGGTAACGCCTGCGACGCCGCCCTTGGATCCACCAGCTGCGTGGAGAGAGGGATCCTGCTGCATGGACAATAGCTTGCTCCACATATTTCTTCACCCAGTCATTGACAGAGTCAATATTCCGATATCGACTGATGGTAGCCACGTCAAATGTATGTGTATATGTATTTACATACATACATACATATATATATATATATATATATATATATATATATATATATATATATATTTATATGTATATAAATATATATATATATATATATCGGCGTAGGGGCATTTAAAATTTAGGGGGGGCTGCAAATTTTCTGCCCGAGTGAAAGAGGAAGAGAAATTTCACCTGCCAGAAAATTTGTGATGAATGCCACCAGTGGCGTAGATGGAGGGGGTCGGGGGAGGGGGCGAAAAACCCACCTATAAGGCTAAACTACCATTTTGTCGGAAAATTTCTGCACTTGTCGGAAAAATAACGATGGCTTTCTGTTTCGTTTAGTTCTAGTGGCCTTATGTTATATTCAAAATAATAAAAAATGAGAATTAGTGTCATTTTTTTGTCGGGATATCATTTCTCGCCCCCTTATGAATTTTCCTATCTATGCCCCTGCCCAAAATTGCCCGAATTCAACCAGCATTTACCCGACTGGGGGGGCTGCAGGCCCCCCAGCCCCCCTGGCTCCTACGCCTTTGTATATATATATATATATATATATATATATATATATATATATATAAAGGACAATATATATAAATATATATAGATATATAAAGGACAATATATATAAATATATATAGATATATAATGGACAATAGGCTATATATAAATATATATATATATATATATATATATATATATATATATATATATATATATATTTGATCCATTTTTGGTAATTCATTCGTCTGAAGAGGAACTCGTGAAAAGTTAGAAATGTTACATTTCAATTTCATTTCTTACTGTGGCAGTTTTCCTTTCATATATATATATATATATATATATATATATATATATATATATATATACATATATATATATATATATATATATATATATACATATATATATATATATATATATATATATATATATATATATATATATATATCTGAGTGTGTATGTATATATGTATATATGTAAAGGACAATTTTATTTTGAAATATATATATGTTTAGGTATATAGCCTCGGTAATTTTTTTTATTTGAGTTTGAGAAAAAAGACACACCTTTCTTTCCACGCCTCCTAACCCAGATCCTATGCCTTTGGGCCTTAGGCTCGGGCCACAGGCGCCGTTAATTGTTTTAGTCTGTGTGAGATTGTGAGTCAGCTACACAGCCAGCCAGTTGGGTAAAGGGGTGCAATATAGCAATGCTCAATAATAATGATAAAAAATTATAAATATATATGTATTTCTGTTTTTTACCTTTTTATATTTTGAGATGTTAAAATGAACTAAGTCCATCATGGGCCCCAAAAGGCCTTTTGAACCCCCACTAAGGCCATACTACTGTTACGCCACTGGGCTATTCTAAATATCCCCCCACTTCGTAATTTCTGGTCAGTTGTGTCATTACTGTATATTTCATTATTTTTTATATTTGTGATGTTGAACTCGCTATATTAAATTCAGCAATGAAATTACTTATACGCGAGATGTTCTGAAAAAAAAAAAAAAAAACTCTGGAGCTTCTATATCTGTTTTCGAGTCGAAATAGGACGAGGAAATTTTGAAGGATGGCCTACGAATAGTGAAATTATGAAAGTCCTAAAATATTCCTTAAACACAGCGCCAATTCCTACATAGGAATTTTCACTTTATCTGATGTTTAATGTTTATTTCATGTGTATTTCGCAATGAAAATAACTGTATGCGTTATAATAACTTGATATTTTGCATGGCTTACGTGTAAACATGTATACATTTTGAATAAAGCACTGTGAAGATATTTCGTTGTCCTTAATTTACTGACTGTATATCAACATAACTCGCTCTATGAATTCATAACATTGCTCTGTTATGTGTTGTTCTAGAAATGACGGATAGCTTAGCTTTAGCTTTTGGCCAATAGTAAAGAGTTTCCATTAGTCAAGTTATGCGATTGGCAGAGCGCACGCC